TAAATCTAGATTAAAGACCCATCTCTTTAACCTGGCTTACACATAACACACTAACACATTTCTATTATTCTGTTAAAGGATTGTTAGTCTGCATTATTTAGGTCAACTGGAACCGGGAACACCTCCCATAACACCCGACGTACTTGTTACATCATAAGAAGAATGGCATCTACGCTAATATTAGTCTGTTTCGTTCTTATTCTGAGGTCAACTAAGCCACCCAGATGCAGCTTGTATCCAGATCAGATGGTCACTGCAGTCACCCGGATCCAGTACGTATCCAGCCCAGATGGTGGATCAGCACCTAGAGATGACCTCTACATCCCTGAATGTCAGCGGAGACCAGGACAACTAGATGAGCTACAAAGACAGATCCCCAGTGAAGACCTTGTCTCCTAGATGGCCACCGGGACAAGACCACGAGAACCAGAAGACTCCTCTGCACAATCTGACTGGAATTAAACTGCTGGTTTTGTCTGGCCAGAGGAGAACTGGCCCCCAACTGAGCCTGGTTTCTCTCAAGGATTTTTTCTCCATTTCTGTCACTGATGGAGTTTTGGTTCCTTGCCGCTGTCGCCTCTGGCTTGCTTAGTTTGGGACACTTAACTTCCAGCGAAATTGTCAACTTGATTGCACATACTATTTAAACTGAACTGAGCTGGACGATCACTGAATCAATGATGAACTGACTTTAACAGAAATTGAGCGTTTACTGTCGTCCTTTTTTATTATCACACACTATTTTTCCTATTTTATACTGTAAAGTTGCTTTGACACAATCTGTATTGTTAAAAGCGCTATATAAATAAAGGTGACTTGACTTGACTATGTAATACAGTCAACAAGCCTGCATCGCCCATCAGTCAGTTATGAGCCCAATAATAAAGCAAGATAATCAGTCAGTGTACTCACCATATTTAGCTGCTTTAGCTTGAGCTGGGGTAAGAACACCCGCACCTGCTCAGAGAGGACAGATCCAAATTTTGCTTCAAATTTAGGAAATATAAAACATCAATAACATCACAGGCCACTGAATGCCACATATCATGCCCCATGTGCATTGACCTCAAACCTATTGCAACATGTCTTTGCATGCAATGTTTGATTGTACAATTGCTCTGGTAGCTCCTGTTATTCCTAAATTCCTTGTAGTTTCTAAGTTCCTATAGATTCTAAAAGGGAGCACACATATGGATAAAATGTATACAGTATATAGTATATATAGTGTCAGCACAATGAGTAAATGCAGGACAAATTAAAGTTGGATTTAGATTTTGAAGCTTTTAACAAACAACATAAAGTGTGGTCTGTCCTCAACAACAACACTAATTGTTGTTTTTTGGAAAAAACTGACATTTTTGTTCCTCACTTTGGAATGGCAGACGGGTGAGTAAATGATTTCCTTTAAACAAACAAACAATGTGTGATTGCAGCTCCTAAACCATTCTTTAGCAAAATTATTTTTCACCTCCTGCCCCTGTGTAAACTCCACCAGCACCACCTGCTCCAACACCACCTAAACCAACTCCAACACCCAAGAAAATATGTAAACACTAAACTAGCCACTTGAGTAAATTACTTACATTTCAATATGGACAATTTTTTTATATAAAAATGTTGATTGTTGTTTTAGGGGATTTCAGAGGAAAATGCATCCTTACCTCCTATACCAGGGTAAAGTCCACCAGCACCACCCGGAAAAGCTCCAGCCCCACCAAATCCAGCTCCAGTACCTGAAGAAATGGGCGCAAACAGTGAACTTCTATTAGCTCTTGGAAAAACAAAACAAAACAAAAAAAACCCCACACAATTATGCACAAACAACTGAAGCACAATGTTAATTTCTTTGTTCTGTGGATAAAACATGTGCACTTTAAAATCATTGAATTAATTTTTATTACCATATTTAGCAGCTTTGGCCTGTGCAGCAGAGACCCCTAAAGTCCCCACACCTACGTACAGAGACGGCAGATCAGCTACTGGTCATGCATTTACAGTGCATGTGTGTGCATGCTGATTGCAGCCATGGAAAATGACAGTAATATCAGTATCTTTGCAATTCTTTTAGGGTGAATCTCATGAAGTCAAGAGCATGTGTGGGTTTTATTTCACCACACAATCTGACTACATATGTAAGAAATTATATTTTTGCATTAACATTGGGGACATTTTGCATTGGGACATTATTTTTGTGAGAATTAATTAAAGATATATAGAGTATATCCCATTACACACACACACATACACACACACAATATATATTGAAAAGTAAATTTTTAATTTTACGCAAAATGCGATATCCACCGAGTTATTCTGTCATGTTTTCTCCCTTTCTTTCCAAACCGTGACAAACGCCAAACTCCCTTCTCTGCAGAATGCGATATATCCGCTATATACAGCGCACCATTCCACGCACTCTAGACAGTAATGGCGGTGCTTTGAACACAGCCGGCATCCTAGTTTTCCTCATCTACTTTGTACTTTGTGATCAACAAACAAACTTAGGGCTGCACGATAAATTGCATGTGATTGTCATGCGCATCTCGTCCTTCTGTGATTAATAGTAAATCTCCACCACGTGCTTTCAGATGGATACACAGAGCCGTAGATCACTGACTATGCAATATCGCATTCATAATCACAGATGAGTCGGATTCGATTATGAACGCGATATTGCATGGCTTGTCAGTGTAAGTGTTTTTATTAATGCCATTTATGTTTTTGGTAATACAGCGTATAGCACTAGTCAACTAAATGAATGTAACATGGCAAAGATTAATGCACTTTTGGAAGTTGAATGTAAGGGAAATGTCATTTTGGAATTTCTGTGGTCTAATGTGATATTGTTGTTCATGTTCTTGTTCATGATGAAATTTTCTTTTATTGTTGTAATTAATTTATAGCATTAACAAGATGACCCGTTGAATTCATTTTGGGGGCGATGACTGATTGAATGTATTTTTAGTCCAGTGCCTGTATATAAGATTAGTATTGACCAAGTTCAGAGGCTGTCATATGTGGATTAACCATGTTGTGTATTTTCAACAGTTTCAATATGAAAAATAACTTTTATATTGATTCAATGGATTTATTGCATTTTGG